TGTGTGTGTGTGTGTGTGTGTGTGTGTGTGTGTGTGTGTGTGTGTGTGTGTGTGTGTGTGTGCGTGCTGTAAAAGGATTTATGAAGAATCTTGGGTCAGAGTAGGTGGTCATGCTAACTGAATCAAGGGGGGGAAATCAGATCATCTGCAATAAAAGTTGATTTATTTCCTTATTGTGTGCAGACATGCTGCGTTTGCTACCTGCGAGGAAACTGAGGGGGAAATCATAAACTGCCCAGTAAGGGGATGTATCACATGTTCATATGAAAAAATGCCCTACAAGGAAAAATAAATAAATAAATATATAAATAAATGAATAAATAAAGAAATTAATAAAATAAAGAAATCTGTAAAAGATAAAAATGACCCGTTTCTTTACTAGATGTAAGCTTTATGTGTCTGAAAATCGAGTGGGGRAAAAAAATGCAAACAAAAGGTACAAAAATCTGAAAAACAAATATTTGTTGAGCAAGTGGCATGTATCCAAATCAACCGACATCCTAGCTTATCGGACAGAATTAAAAACAAGGATGTAAATCTGCAGTCTAATAGTAAGAAAAATGGGGGAAAAGCAGACTAAGGTATAAAGGAGGAGAGAGGAGGGTTGTCGGTCCACACTGGCTGCTGGTAGCACTGCATTATTGTTAGCAAGCCCCCCTCCACCTGCCACCCTAAAGCCTGTCGCAGAGGAAAAAATGTTAACTCTTGCACGGCTGCTGAAACTGCATGTTGTGGGACACAGAGGAGATACGTTTTTTTTTTCTTGTTGTGTATTAAAAGCCTTAAAGGGTTACAAAAAAAAAAAAAAGAATGATGTGGCAAAATCTGCAAGTAAACCATAGTATCCCCAGACAAACCTTCAAACAGTCAGACATAAAAGGTGAGACAGTCCAGAGTCAGACAAAGAAAATCTGAGTGCAACAGACTGAATAACCTTTTCTTATGTATACAAATGTATAAATAGAAAAAAGTCAAATGATGCTGAACGTAGCGAGAGGAGCTGGTAGAAAGAAATGGAGGGTGGTGGTGGTGGTGGTGGGGGGGGACTTAGTACTGTAATGTTTAAATGTGCAATGTGCAAACCCCATGGGTGTGGGGGAGGGAGAACAGGCAAGGGATCAGTGAGAGGTGAGCGGGAGACGGAGGAAAATGAGGATTCTGTGAAAGCAGAAAGTAAAAGAAAAGAGGGAGAAAGTACAATATTTTGAAGGAGCTGTGTGTTTGTAGGGGATGTTTAGGAGAGAAGTTTTAATATGTCACTTTTCTAATATATGTAAAAATAAAACACAAAAGTTTAAACAATACCAAAAAATAAGAATTAGTCATGATACAATGGGATATGATAAAATAAAATACGATTAAAATTATTAATAAAATCAAATAAACCCTTTTAAAAAGATGCAGGGAGCCCAGAACTGCCATGAAAAAAAGAGAGATTTGGAATAAGGTTTAAAAACAAAACTGAGTTGGATACACCTTTTAGAGGAAACTCCTAAAATATGAATATTTACTGATTGCTCTTAATATATTAACCTGCTTTTATTGTCTTCAAGCAATCAAAGGGTTGCTTATAAAGAGTCTAATAAATGAAGTAATTACAATTAAAAAGAAAAAAATAAATGATAAAAATAATTTACTGAAAATGAATCGAAAGACAGCAAAAGGCTGTACACTGATGCAAACAAGTAAAAGGCAGTGATTACCATGAGTGTGTGTTTGTGTGTGTGTGAGAGAGAGAGAGAGAGAGATCAGTGGAGGCGTGCCTCTGTGTTCACCCTTCGATATCTTGCCCATGACTGCAGGGGAGGAGCTACAACAGGCTCGTTGCCACCTTCCAGACAAAAGAGGAGTGAATTAGAGCATGTGTGTTGACACCTTCGCACACACATATATACATTATATATATATATAT